CTCTGAACATTACAGGATATTCCTTTTCGTGGAAACCAGAACATGGAAAAAATGAGTTGCAAGTTAATCAACAGGGCAACATTTTTCAAACCTGCTGAAGAGCTAGTGAAATCTGATTCTGAGCAGGACAAGAGAAATTGAAGAAATCAAACAACTACTACATTTTGTATGTACATAAATGGTGAGAATGCAGAAAAAATCGAGAAATTTGTCAAGATTGACAAAAAACTTGGTGAGCTGCGAGAAAATATCAGGAAATGTGGTGAGAAGAAGAAAGCAGGAGTGTGATGTAGAAGAGAATTATACATATAGCACGTCTATGTGAAAAGATGCCGCAGCTTCATCGTTTTGGGAATATGATGTGAAGAAAAAAAAAATCATCAACTGTCTTGTTTTGATACTCATCTCGTAGATGTAGGAAGCCTTTGACAATTCTTCAGGAACTTTGTGATCTGATGATCCATTACCCATTCAATTAATGTGAAATTTTGGCTTCTTCCTGAGTAAGCCGCCCTTTGATCACGGTTCACACATGCGCTAGGTAAAAGTATGTCTTTCAATCGTCTTGAGCCCTGATTTGAATTCTCTCGTCTGACCGGCTATGGAAGTGAGTTACCAATTATTTATAGCGCCATCTATCGACACCGGTTCGAGAGGAATATTAAATTGATATCGACAGGCTGATATCGATTCGTATTCTCAAAACAATATGTTGACACTATTGCTCACATCATGATATAGTGAATCAGATAGTTACCAAAATAGTATGATATTACTTTTTGATATGGCTGATGAACTAATCAACTGATATGGAATCGAACTTGAGGATACAATATTGCTCCTTTCTTCTATGACCGATGTGAAGGAAAATATCGAATTGCCGATATAGATATTCATCTTCGAAACAATATGCGATCAATATTTTCCGCATGATATTTTCGAAACGATATCAACCAATGTAGGTGAATATGATATTTCGAACATCGCCTTACTCGAGTATACTATATTGCATAACCGCTTTGAATTCGACATGTGAGAAATGTTGAAATTGCAATACTGGATATAATGGTTAGAAACAATATGTATACGATGTTGTTGTGAAAAGAACTGTGAAGGAATATTATAATCATAAAAGTCAAATGATATTTGTTTTTCCATATTGTGTCGACCAATTTTCCAACCTATATTGCCCCAATATTGTAGCCGACAATCCATATTTACCTCGAGTTGAACCAATATTCCATGGCAAAATAATTATGCACCACAAACATGACATAAAGGAAACAAAAACTGATCAATTAAAGGTGAATATCGACTGTCCTTCCGATATTGCATTCTCAATATATTGTGCTACTTGAGGGGTTATCGATTCATTTCCATTTGAATTAGTTGACTATAAACGGTTGATGAAAACTTCATGGATATTCATTGATAGAACACTCAGAGAAATAGTCATAAGTGAATATCAAACGTTTACTTAAATAGGCGCCAGTCACTACATGCATCAAATAATACCACAACAAAATTGTAAAATTCCATACTATGGGTATCATACTATTTTGTTATGGTAATATTTGATATAGACTGGCGCCTATTTCAATAAACGTTTGGTATTTGTTATCGATTTTTTTTTCAGTGAAGGTCTGACCGTGCTTTAACCCTTTCAAATGTGATTTTTTTACAGATTTGAATTATGATAATAGTGATCTACTTCCATGATATATTATGTACCTACACGACAAATCTTTTCGGAATTCAGTGGTTCGCTTTCTGCAAAAGTGTATTATTCTTCAGAACCAATACCCTTTGAAGCCATTCATGCACTAATCTTATCACGGAATCTTCGAAAGACAGCAATGACACGAATTTATGTTGAAACATGTTTTCGAAAATTATCGAGTCTGTAGGCATTTTGTCATTCGATTATTCATTTTTAGTATACCGTCATCATCGTACCTTTGGGAAGATTCTTCCAACATTTTCTGATGAATGAAATGTCATATCATTGTCCCCGCTTAGATATTACTCAAGGAACTCAAAATGTTTTCAATTCCATTTTGTTATCAATGCATATCCAAAAGGTAATTTAGAGTTCATTGATCGAAGGTATAGTCAGATATCAACGATTATCAGAATAGTTATTTGAATGTGATACTCATCAGATACTCGTCGATCTAGAAGGAAAAAAACTTTCAGTCCTTCTGCCAATGAAATAAATCTCAAAGCTTTCCCTGGATTTCCGAGAGTCGCTCGTGTTTGATGTCTCTGGCCACCAAGCACGCATTAAAACAATTACAAACTATTGCTGTTTGGCTAATTACTGATGCTAGCTTGATTGTGTTTGCTTTATCGGCCACCATCTCATGTAGCGAATACGAGGAACTTTGACGTACATAATCGTATGCATGTCCATTATCAGAACGAACATCTGAGCGCCAACAGAGACGAAAGCGATAAGTATAGTGTACAGATACAAATTACACGCAGACGAGAGTAGTGTTTCTTTATGAGCTACCGCATTTTTCTAAGGATTATGTTTATCGCATATCTCTGTAAGATCTTGCTTCGAGTCAATTGTTGATTTTCCAGGAATTATAATTCCTTTCGTGAAGATAAAATAAAATTTTTGCAGAATAATACTCAGACTCATCTCCACGACATATGATCAACAGATCGAATCACCTGGTACAGTCGTCTTCAGATAACAGGTGCCATGTCGCACATGGACGGTGTCAGCTCTCTGAGAGAGACGAGTGTACATGTTTTGAACATTTATATATCCATCTTTGGCCTCATCAAAAATTACAATTACGTCATAGAATAAAAAGAAATGGATACAGTTAGTTGTCTGTATCCATAAATTTTTATTCTAGGACAAAATTGTGACTATTGATGAGGCCGAGGATGAATATATATATATGTTCAAAACATGTACACTCGTCTTCAGAGAAATAGAGATACCTCACACGTTCACTGAATATACTACCATCTAGATTGTAGCCATCAGGATGGTCAGAAATGCAAAAACTATTTTTTCCACCAATTGCTATAAAACCTACCATTTATCACTCCTTACCAAAGCGTGAAGTGTGTTTTTGATACCAAGGTAGTTTTCGTCATTTCATGTATCACTAGTCGTTGAAGACAAATTCACCTCTGTTGAAATTAACTCGAATGCACTGTTCTGATTCGCAGGAATGGTACTCGAATCTGGTGGTTATTCATCAATGACGACTTGTCTTATATGCTGTCATGGTCATTGCTAATTATCGAAAATAGTGCTTTCATAGTGACAATAGGTCCATATTCCGGTCTCAAAGAACTGAATATTGCTAGTGGTGATAAAAAAAATTAATAAAAACCTTGATAGTGAAGAATGTTTTTACCACGGTACCTTAAGCCCCTAGATATAATTTTGGTCCCTGGGTAATGATGATATCATCTACTACCTTGGTGTATAAATAACTATTTTCCACAACTAGCTATGAAGCAGACCAATATTCACTCTTCCTCGAGGCGTAAAGAATATTAATCTACTCACTGCATCGAAAGTATCCGTTTGCTCCCTCAGTCACGGACACAAAGCTGTTTATTTAGTCTCATGGAAGGAAACAAATATCACTTTCCGTAGGAGGTAGAATAAATTGACTACAGCAATACCAGCATGCTTTGTTGATTGTTGATATGCTTTCAAGGGTCGTTTAATTCATGTCATTATTTTCTTCATCACTATTATGCATATTAATTTCCTTGATATAACAGAATTGACAGTTGACTGTGGTAACAATTCATATGACCCGAACATTTGTTATGGACGAAATGTTATTTTCATGATAATCAATTGTGAAGATACAGTTATTTGCGTTCTGTTTTCGCCGTAGTTGTTGAGATTTCATGCTCAGCAGTTGATTGCATTTTTTCAATTAATTCATTATCAGTAGAGCTAGAACAGGTTGACTTTACCTCAGGATACCATCCAGAATGTCCAGCAACAAGGTTCACTTCTAGTATAGCTACGGAGCATATAAATAACCTCTTTCTGCTTCAGAGTTGGATTCTACGTAGGCTTTCAATGTACCTACGTGAATCACCAGGGTATAGCAATATGACACGCGAATGAAAAGAAATCAAAGAAATCAAGTTGCAACTTCATCATTTCAAGAAATCGTGATTTATCGAGATCATGTTTTCCAATCCCTAAATTTTCGTGACACAACATATTCCGGGATTTCTAGAATTTGTGATCCCAGGATCCCGTATTGGGAACTCCATACTAATGAAGTTGAAAATAAGAACTGTATTGAATTTATCATCCATTTATGGTTGAGCTAACATTGGATCAATATATATGATACGGGCAATGTAAATAATTGGGCATCATTAATAACGCCTGGGCAATTCTGGGAGTGTCCGAAGGGATAGGACAAAATGGAAGTATCACATTGCCTGGATATTATGAATAATTTTGGATGTCGAGTGAGCAATTCGAGGATATTTTTATTCATATTTACAGTACTTTTTTCAGGGATGAAGAAAAATATCCCTGCTGCATAAAAAAGAAGATTACTTTCTTTAAACCATCTGAATGAACCTTCTTCCTGAGAAGACGGTACTTTCTTCAGGGAGGAAGGAAAATATCTCTCCGGCATCAAAAAGGACACTACTATTTCCGAACCAACTAACCTTACTCGGCATAAATGAACCTTCATCAGAAAAGAATGCTGATTGGCCAGCGAAAATCACACCATACCAAAGATACCATACGCACGTTGCCAAATTGTTGTTACTTAATCGAAGTGCTTAGAAAATGAAAGCAGTATTTATAATGACCAAGCAATTCAATAAATTATCGGAGACAAATACAAAATTATTGAATTGCCCGAGGGCGTTGGGCACTTTATAAACTGCTCGCGCATTATGAACAATTTCTGGAATAATCAAGTTGCCCGTAACATATACATATAATATTCATCAAGTGCTTATATCATCTTATGTTTCAGACGCTCCCCGCTGTAAGAGGGGATACGAGATGGTGCGAGTGGGAGCCTTGCCCTTCGAGACGCTTTCGGTGCAGTGTCACGTGGACGCCGTTCCAGACGTGACGCGCTTTTCTTGGACATATAACACCACCAGGGGCGTTCTTCCCGTCCAAGGGGCCAAGACGGAAAACCTTGGCAACGTTTCAATTCTGCATTTTACTCCTCCTTCCAGGGACGTGGAGGCGCTTGCTTGCTGGGCATCGAACAGCGTCGGCAGGCAGCGGGATCCATGTTTGTTTTTCATAGTTCCTGCAGGTGAGGAAAAAATCGTAGCAACAACGAAATAGTCACAATGCTCAAAGCGGAATAATATGGTGAAAAAATACAAGCAGCTCGGAGTCATTTTCACACAATGTTTATAAAATGAAAAACGATGGTAGATTTCGGGAGGAAAACAACTACTTCCCTGGCAAATGCCACGCAGGACATTGAATTACATCCTCCCGAAATCTATGCATCGATTCGTAGCCAGGCCACTAGTCAACCACAGATGGGTTTCAAGCTCTTTGACTCTCATCAGTGCAGTGTAGTCTCCAACCAGCAGTCCTAGGACCGCCGACTCAGCGAAGCCTTGCCGAACAAGAATCAAGTCGGCATTATATTCACCCCGAGGCGTCTTTCTGTTCTACTCAGATAGCTTTACTTTCATTTTGTCGATGAAAGCCGCCTCGGGGTGCATATAATGACGACTTGATTTTTGTTTGACTAGGCTTCGCTGAGTCGGCGGTCCTAGGACTGCTGGCTGGAGACTACCCTGCACTGATGAGAGTCAAAGAGCTCGAAACCGGTCTGTGGTTGTCTAGCGGCCTGGCTAAATCGACTCCAATAGGCATCCAGGAAAGAATCACTTGTATCAGTATTCGTTTATACGAGTCGATGCATAGATTTCGGGAGGATGTAATTCAATGTCCTGCGTGGCATTAGCCAGGGAATTAGTTGTTCTTCTTCCGAAATCTACCATTGTTGTTCATTTCATGAACATTGTGTGGAAATGACTTCGAGCTTCTTGTATTCATTCAAAAAATCATAGGTTATTGTTACAGTTCATACAAATCTTGTCGGATGTCATTAGTTTTGACAAATTATGGTTTGATCCACGCCTAATGTTTACAAATATTCTGTCTCAATCGTTTTCCGATTACTCTTAATGATAAAAAAGATCCTGTGAGGTAACAGATGACTAAGTGGGCATTATCTGTCGAAATAACATTGAAATCTCGGAATATTCGTATTGTGTATTCATTGTGATAATGTAAGTTATGCATGAGTTGTATCCCTGAATATTCATAGTATTTTCATTAAAAATGGAACATTCGATGATTTGTATAGTTCAAAATGTTTTGCAGTCTTGTTTCATGTGATACATTCTGATATTCAAATATCTGCAATCTCAGATGGAAACTGACGGAATAATCCTGATCAACCTACAACTTATTGCATAATATTCTCGATAAAGTAACTTTTGAGAGCATCGAATGTCTATGGGTCGATGAATTTGAATTCCTTGGAATGATTTCCTTCATTTTGAGATAAGGAGATTTGGAGCACAACAAGCAACTTCAATCGTAGAAACTATAACCACAGTTTGGTTTGAATAAGCCTAACAATATGAAACAGTTTTCAGTATACCAGAGCTATCGACATTTCATGCTTTCAGAAATTGAAAACTAACATTTGGGATCTCCGTAAACTTGTTTCTTCGTTGTCAATTTCTCCAGCTATATCTGAATCAATGAGTCCTTTCTCCTCTGAACTTCCAATTGATTGCACTTTCCGGATCATCCGACATCTCATGATGCATCAGGATTGTAGCTGAGAGCACCACGCCATATCCAGAGTCCGATATGTTTTAACAAGTATATTTCCCATCAGAAAATACTGATGCAATTTTAAAATATCTGTAGACATTCGTGAACCATTTTTTACTTCTCATAGCTTCAACATACGCACAGACAGACAGCGCATCACTTTAAGAAATCATAACATATGAAATATAACTATTCAAAAAGCATGAACTTGAAATAAATATCACAGGATGGATCCTTCAAATCAGTCACACACAATGTACTTTCACCCCACTGCCATGTTCCACATATAGTATTCTGTGAGAATCGAAGAAACATATCATGAACTGAAAAAACGGAAGACTCGTGACAATAAAGCTACACACGGAGTTATGGAAGAATTGTTTCGAGCTGTGGACAAATGAATTTCATTCAGTACCAAAGTACTCTCACCTCAAATAAAATAGTGCCAATTTTGATCGAGCCCTCATTGGTATTTAATAATGAATTTGATTTTGTTCGAAAAAATATTTATGGTGAACTAATATCATCCTTGATTTCAACTTATCTCTATGATTCAGTGAATAATTATCCTCTCCTCTTTATTGAATTGTATATCACATTACTTCTATATCAATTTTGGGGGAAGAAATTAAACTTCCTCCAGCAAGATAGATGGAGCAACGTTGTCTAAGTAGATTTTTGAGCTCTTTTCATCTAGACAAATCCACTTCTTTGTCATGTTGAGTAGTATTATTTCTTATGATATCGTATTATCGGATAGATGCCAATAGGAGAAATAATGATAAGGTATTGTCGATACCATTTCATACATCATATTCAATGTTTGTCAATCATAGACTAGGTACTTCCAGTATTCTGGAGCAACAACATTATTGACAGCCAAGAAATACCCTTTCTATAAGATGTCTTCATCGAGCGTTGGTTAAAATGTAGAAAACACTATGCAAAACGAAATGATATTTGTTCAATAACGATATTCGATTCAATAAGCGAATAATTGATAGAAACCTAAATTCCATATCCAATTAGGTAGCTTTCTACAGAACGACATGATAAGACGGGAAATAGGCATATTCGAGAATCTTGTGGCTCCATGTCAAGATCGTTACACCATTAACTTCATCTTCGTGGACTAAGATTTCTAGTTCAACAATCTCCAAATTCCATCCTGAGCATGAATTATTTTCTTCACTTCAATTATAATTTCGTGACATCTGTCCTGAGTTGAACGAATTCTTGATATAATATCATCATCCTTCATGGAACTGTAAACCATCTCTATGACTTTTACTTTCCTTCCGTATATTCACACTCCTCTGCAAACTTCAGGCTCCATTGTCGCTGACAGAACGTCTGAAATTGAATTCGTTATATTTAAAATTAGGTAGTTCAATAATGAGGCAAAGTTTATACACCACGAAAATTTGATAATATGAGTCGAAGTAATTTCATTACCATATTCGCATCTCTCCAAGTCTCATCTCGGCTTATGAATATTCAAACTACTTAACCCGGTAATAGCTTACTTCGTGAGAGTACTCGAATTCCGATGCGCAAATTCGCTAAAAATATCGGCGTTTATCACGGATCCGGGGGTTCTGTACTTCACGCTCCGGGTTGTGATAACTCGTGCACTGAGGCGATGTGTGTTCGACATGCATTATCAAGAGTCAGTTAGCGTATTTGGGAATTTGCATTTCAACAAATCAATTAGCTGGAAAGGGAGTTATAGTCCAGGAGTTAGAATACTTGTACGGCTGTCATCACACTGAGATAATGTTCTGCTACGACTCCTATTCTGCCGAAATCCATCATCTAAGTAGTTTCCATACTTTCCCGTGGAGAACGATATATTTAATTTGGAAATGATGACTTCCGATGTAGAAAAACGTTGGGAATCGTGAAGACTTTTCAGAAAAATCTATTCTTATTACTAGAAAGCCAGATACGGCTCTTATCCTCGAAAATATTGAACAGATAAAAAAATAAATGAATAATTGATTTTGTGACGGGAAAAAAGTTTGGCATTTCATCTCTTTTGACAGGTTATGAAATTTCACTTTTCATAAATTACTTTTCTCTCGTGGGAAAAAAGTGAGTACTTTTTCCCAGATATATATCATATATATATATTCACTGTTGATAGCTTTTGTTGTGCTATAGTGCCGAAAAATGAGTCAATCATACCGTCTCCGAGAAGGAACTGCAAGTCCTTTTATCTTTTATTCGACTTCGCGGTTACGTATATTACTAAACAACCACTGAATTCGCATTCTTTTAAAATCAAATCATAGGATTAGACTGATAGAAGTGACATCAGATATTTGATTACTTCAAAAGAATGATGAAGATACCTACAACTCAGGTGTCCCTACTGTTAAAAACTCAAAATTTCACGTCGATGATTTTCAGATTTCCAAATGATGTGATATCTTCTCAATATTGATTCGTCCTTTCTTCTGTCACAGAAAAAAATAGTGTATTATACACGGGAACAATTTTAGATTTTAGTTCACGTTTTTTTGTCTCCATCCGCTACGCGTCGAAGACAACACAACCTAGAGCTAAAATCTACTACTTCTTCCCCTTGTATAATAAATAACTATTTTTGAATGAGTGTCCATCCAGGCATTGAGTGCTTTCGGGGAGTTGGTTGTTGAACATGATTCCGCAATAGCTAGGACTTGATTCAAATTCAGCTGTCTTATGTGAAGGAATACACAAAAAAATTTATTTTCTGGTCGAGTATGAATGGTACTGGGAATTAGTTTCAAACTTACCAATATTTTTTCTGTAATGTAGCAGGCATTTTAAAATTCATATTCTGAGTAACGTTAGGATTTCGTTATGAACAAAATAGGGCCTACATATGACTCTCTAGGGGGCAAGTTGAACATAGTTTGAATTTTTTTTTTTTTGAGCAATGAATATTCTGTCACTATCAGCACGATTTTCCCAGAGCACTACATCATATGACATATGGCTATATACCATACTATAGTACACTGTTAACAACGACTCAACTGGCATAGATGACTTTATTCGTGATATTGCAAATCTAGATTTATTGAGCTTTTTGCTAACTGTGGTTTGGTAAGTCCATCTCAAATGCTGGTCAACACGGATACCCAGATATTTCGTACAAGTTTCAGGAACAACCGTCTCACCATCCAAATTGAGTTGGAAGACGTTCAAGCTAGCTTGAAATGTGAAATATATATTCATTCTGTTTCGGCAATGTTTGGAATCAAACCATTCTGATCACACCAACTATTGAAGCTATTCATGATCAATTTTTTTGACTCAGCATGCTCCACAAAGGTGCCTGCTGTCAAAACTAATGAAGTGTCATCTGCTAATAGTGCTAACATCTTAGTATCAATATGTTCAGGCATATCGTTGATGAATAATAAGAATAATAGCGGCCACAGCACTGAACCCTGTGGA